ATCTCCCTGTTTCCTATTATTTATCTTTTATTTTTCTCTTTAATTTATTTATAGTTTGAGTTTCTCAAATAAGACAAACTATGCAGTATTTAAGCTTGTGTTTCTCATTTAACTTAACATTATGGTCTCAAGGTGCATCCATTTTACCAGACATACTCAAATTTAATCTTTATTACAGAGTAGTACTCCATTGTGTATAAATGCCATTTTTAAAGTCCATTCATCTGTTGATGGGCATATAGACAACTTTCAAGGTTTAGCTAGTGTGAATTGTGCTGCAGTGAACATAGGTGTACATGTATCACAGTAATACGATGTCTGACTCTTTTAGGAGGATACACTCAGGTCTCTTTGTCCTCTTCTAGTTTCTCCTCTTCTTCCTCCTCTGCCTGGAACCCAAGTTCTCTGTCCTTAGAAAGGGAAGAGCTGGGTGAAATGGAATTTCTAGTTTTAATTTTTTGAGGAGTATCCATACTGATTTCCATAGTGGTTATATTAGTTTACATTCTTACCAAAATGTGGAAGTGTTCCTTTCCCCCCACAGTCTCCCCGGTATTCATTATTATTTGATTTATTTATTATTTATTACTTTATACTATATATATGTCTTATTTACTTTTCTCACTGCTGAGACAAAATCATCTGACACCCAGAGTTAGAGAAGGAAAGGTTTACCTTGGCTCCCAGTTTGTGTAGGTTTCGGTCCATAATTCACTAGCTCCAAGCATGGCAGAGGGCATCACAGCGGAGACGCAGCCGAGTGGGCAGCAGGCAGCAAAGCGGCATGGTAGCCAGGCAGCAAGCAAGCGGCAGAGCCCTCTGTCTGTCCCTTAAATTCTAGCCAGTCTGCTTACCCTTAGAGAAGAACTCACAAGAGGGTGGGCCTTTCTGTTCACACTTAGAACTACGCCGAGCCAATCAGTGGACTAATGTAGTGATCACACACCCTTAGTTTTCTAGCATAGTGCGCTTACCTCAGCCCCACACATTCCAGATCCGCCATTTCTGAAAAGCCCCATCTATAACCACACGAGGCTTTGGGGGAACGTCCAGAACCAAGCCATAACAATATCTTTCAGGTTTGTTTCTTGATCTGTTCTGTCAACTTGTATGTTTTAATTGGGGAATTGAGACCATTCACACTGAGAGTTATTAAAGAAATAAGGAAATACATTGAACTGTTTTTTGTTTGTTTTGTGCTTAGGTTTGCAGCAGCTTATAATGGAAAGACTTTGTTGCTAGTAAGGAGATCTCTTTCATTAGTCTGTTTTTCAATAATGTATTCTAGGCATGGCTGACTGTACTCTTTGCCTGTTTCCCAAGATGTGAGTACCTCTTTTAATTTGGGAGGAGGATGCACCTATTTCTCCAGGAATGGATTGCAGTATTCTTAATGTCACAAAAGTAACCTGGATGGTGGCATTCAGAGATAACTTACTGCTAGCACAACTACGTGACCCTCAAAGTATCAAATAAATGGGCAACAGTAATACTGTTCAAGAAAAAATTGAATATTGACATACCATAAAAAGCAATAGGTACCATGTTTAACCATACAAAGAAACCAGAATTATAATGTGAATACTAAGACAACCTAGATGTAGACTACAGCACATGTGTGCTAAATGGAACAAGAGCGTCTTCACTAATGCCAGAAAAGAATCTTAACAGTGATAACATAGAATTAACCATCGAATGGCTAATAAAGCTTAATGGTTATAGTATTACAGACAATAGGGGGTGGGAACAGGAAATAGAATTACAAAAGTGTGAAAAATTAAACAATGGGAGGTGAGAAGGAAGAAGGTGTGAGACAAAAGGATCACAGTAAGGAGTAGAAGAATATAGAATTAGATAAAAGTAACAGAAAAAATGAGTACTATAAGATAAAAAGGAAGTAAAAATATGAGTATAAAAATAAAATATTAAAAGGGATAAAGAGAAGAAAGAAAGAAATAAGGAAGGAGGACAAGGGAAAATTCCCCAGCAGGGAAGAAGAAAGGGGAAAAAAAGAATTAAAAGGAGTCCAAAAACAGAAAAAAAATTTTGTTTCTGAATTTTGGGGTAAATAGTTTCCTTCTGGAATGTACGGTTTTTCCACTTAGTCTATGGCCAGTGGGTTTGCGAAGCCGCCTCCCACACTCCAGAGGCCCTCTCTAGTCCAGGCTCCGAGAGTGCCAGGGAGCGGCCTCTGGCCCCGTGCTAGATGAGGAGGCAGTCAGACCCCAGGCAGGGCTGGCTGCCCCGGCAGGGCAGGACTCAGATTCACTGCCAGCACTTTCAGACCCATTACTGACCTAGGCCTTGAGGGGAGGCAGTGGGGCTCCTGTCCTTCCCTTGCCCTAGCTCGAAGCCCTGGGAGGGAGGGGGTCCAGCCCAAGGAGGAGAAGCTACTGGCGCTGCAGGAGCTGGTGCTGAGGCTCCTGGGTGAGTGCAGTGGGTGGCAGAGCAGGTTCCGGCAGCTGCCCACAGCCCTGCTAGGAGCCCCTCCTGGATCTGCAGAGGCCATGAACTTGGTGCAGCTCTGGCTAAGCAAGGTGACCTTTGCTAGGTGAGCCTTGAGGACAGTGCCCGGGGCATACCGGAAGCCCAAGCGGCTGGCCAGGATCTGCCCCCTGCCAACCCCCACCTCCACCCCACAACTGCAGCTGCTGAGTGAGGTCAGCGGAGAACCTGGGCCCAGGCCACAACCCCTGGGTCCCCGATTTCTACTGGGCAGATGAGAATGAGGAGGTGAAGATCATGGTGCTCTGAAGAGACAGCACCAGACCTAGAGAAGCTGGGCAGGATTGTCCCCTCTGTCCCACCACTCAGTCCCTGACGCTCTGTCTTTGCCACCCTTTTGTCTTGAGAGTAACGAGATAAACTCAACAAATTAGAAAATTTAAAAATACAAATTTTCAAAATGAAAGTTTTAAAAAATTATAAAACGATTAAAAAATCAAAAAAAGAGCTGGTCACTGCGGGAGGGTAACAGGGGGACCCCTGGAGTAAAGTCCTCTCTTAGCTGACTTGGGTCCCACCTTCAGGTCAGCCCCTTCCCGGAAGGTGCCTGCCCAAGCAGTCTGGCAGTGTGGTGGCAGTGCACTGGGTCCCTTGCCTGCCATGTAGGGACCCTTCAGAGTAAAGCCCCACGCTGACCCTGCAGACCACAACACACAGCCAGGCCCCGTCCCCGTCCCCGTCCCCGTCCCCATGTGGGCAAGCTGGGCGCAGGAGAGTGTCTCGACTGTTCATTCCCTTCTCTGCATCGCGATCCGGATCTCAGACTTCTGTGTTCCTTCTTCTCTCCTGGCAAGGTACTGTGCGTCTTTTTTTCTTCCCCACGTTGTTACTTTTCCAGGCTCAGATCCCAGGTCTCTGAGAAGTTGAATTTTGCTGTCACTTACACTCCACCATCTTGGTTCTGTCTCTTTTTTTCTGTAATGACATTAACATTTTTCAAGGATTCATTCCCTCCATGTTTCTGTCTCTGTCCCTTGCCCACTCATTCTCTCTCTCTTTTTGAGACAGATCCCTCTGTTTAGTCCGTGCTGGCCTTGTACCCACTCTGTAGCTCAGACTCAAGACTCCTCAAACCAACAGTCCATTTCCCTTAGTTTCACCTTTGAGTTGTCCAATTGTTTTTCCAGTTGTCTATGTGCTAATTTTTTCAGTATATCTTTATTTATTTGTTTATTGTTTTTTCATCACTGGAATTTATATTTGCATTTTTTTTTTGTCTTTTTCCTTTTTATCAGTACCGGGGATCGAAATCACGACTGCCTGCTTACAAGGCAGGTGCTTATGCCGCTGAGCTAAATCCCCAGCCCCCTATATTTGCATCTTAATATATTTGTTTCCTCAACATCATGTTTTTCCTGGAATATATAGAACATTCTTTTAATTGATATTTAAAGAGAATTTTATGTTAATTTTGTCATTTATAACATTTGGGGAACTTTTTCTGTATTTACTTCTAGATTGTGGTCATATTATTTGACTTCATATTTGGTGATATTTTACTGAATGACAGTCATAAAGAATTTTGTGTGGTTATTTGCTGGATTTCACTAAAAAACATAAATTTGGTAATGTTGGATTTTGTTATGATGCATAGTAAACTTTGATGGGTTTGGTTGGATTCCGCTGAGAGCTGTTTTAAAGCTGTATTAGGACCAGTCTGGAGAAGGCTTTAGTGCAGGCAGCTTTAGCCCTAATACCGAGGTAGCGCGTTTGCAGAAGGCCCTACTCCATGTGCCGTGAGTTATAAGAGCCTCCCTGCCTAGAAGGAACCTGAACTGGTGCTTGCTCTGTATTTGCCAGGATTCACTCTTCTGGCCCCTTTCTGTGGTTCCTGCCCCCACGTTTGGGTAGTTTGCTCTCCAGTGCACATAGACCAACACTCAGGGAAGTTCATGGGGCCACCGAGCTCGTCACATTCTCTGTACAGGCCTCCCCCTCCGGCCCCATCCTGCTCCCTCCCTTGCAACTTCTGCCTTCCAGACTGCCTCAGTTTTTGGTCGATGGAAGCCACGTCGGAGGTAAGCTGCTGCAGTCTAGGGCTCTCCTTGTTTTGTGACTTTTTCAGAAAAATCATATCGTATGCTGCCCATTGCCTAGTGCCTAGAAAGTTTTGTTTTACTCATCCAGTTTTGGTTTTCTAGTTTTATAAATTGTGAGGCTTAGTAGTGTTCCACCTTTGCTGTTTTGCCTGGATGTGGGTCTTTCTCACTCTTATCCACAGTCTCCCCCTTTGGCTTTGCTGTTCTTTTAGTCTCTATCTTCTTAGGGTTTTCTGCACACTCAGTGAAAACCACTAGGCTGACCTGCAGAACCTTCCAGCTCTCAGAACCCTCGGACACATTCCTTTCCTTTCTATAAAACAATTTCATCAAGACATATTCTTAGGCTTCTTTCTGCTTCTCTTTGGTTCTATATTATAACATTCATTTTCTTTTCTTTTTCGTTTGAGTTTCAATTTCTTTTTCGTTACAGTTTCAATTTCTTTTTCGTTACAGTTTCTGTTAGGAGTATGGTTCTTCCGTTTAACCTCTTTTTGTGGAACACCTACAACTGGACGTAACCTGCACTGGGTGCTGGAGTTGTGATGCCTGCATGGGACTCTCAGGGCCACGGGGACAGATGTGCCATCCTGACGACAGGTAGTGCCAGCACTTCTGTGGCCAGGGTTGGGAAGCAAGAGCCACTGCTCTGGGAGAGAGAGGCCATGGCAACAGGCTGGCCTTTGTTCTTTGGGCCAAGGAGTGTCTTGCTGGGACACTGCACTCAAGTGGGGGTTTAAGAAGTGAGGGTGTCCCAGGCCATGGGAACAGCACGTATGGAATCCTCAGGACTAGCACCTAGAGAGGAGATGCCAGGTTCCTTTAAAAATTAAAATTACTGTGTAGGTAGTTTTCCTGTCTGGTATTCAGATTCTGACTATGCGACTTTCTAGCTTTGTGACCTTTGGCAACTTTTTTTCTCCGAGCTTTAATTTTATTTGTAGAAGCATGTAAATAATATGGTTGCTATCAAGATTCAGTAAACTAGGGGCTAGGATATAACTCAGCAGCATGGTGCCTACCTGGAAAGTGCAAAGTCGTGAGTTCGATTCCTAGTAGCTCCCCTCCCCCAAGATTATAAGCTACTGCTACATAGAAAGCTTTTAACATAGTTCTTGGCTAGGAAGTAACCAGCAAGGGTTAATTATTATTAATATTTTATGGTTTATAGCTTTTATTTCCTTGTTTTATGTATACAGTGTAGTAGAATCATTACTAGTCTTCATTAACAGCTGTTACCTTATGGGACTAATTGCCAAGGCCTCAGTTCTCTGATTAGACAGTTTCTTGTGGAATATCTGGGTATTTTCTTTTTTCTTATATAGCAAGTTAGTTCCTAGTCCATGAAGCACTCAGTGGGCCTCAAGGACTCTTTGAAAACCCTGCTCTGGCATGAGAAGTTTGGAGTGTTTCTACCTGTGACTTGCTTTGGGACCAGAGCCATCTGTGAGCCCCGCAGGTCCAGCACGGCTGCTTTTCATGTGGTCACTGTTTTGAACCCTCTCGAGGCCAGCGCTGTAGGTACTGTCTACACATCAGCGGAGTGCGATGGCGTGCACTCCTTGGCCCCTAGGAACAGTGCAAAGAATGTTCATACCCAGCTCTGGCTCGCTTGGCTGTGACACGGTCTAGGCCCATTCATCTGAGGTAGTGATCCTGCAGAGAAACAATGTGTTTTGATTATGCTGTGCATGTTTTTCTACAAATGTGTAAGTCTTTATTAAAATTCTCTGAGTAACTGTTATACAATGTAAATTTTTAATAAACTCTTATTACTAGCTTAAAAGAATTAGTTGATAAAAAATGTTTTCAGTGTTTCAGAGAAAATAAGCACCAAGGCATACGCTTGTCATCTCTATTTTAAGCTCTTATCAATTACTACCTAAATTGGCTTTGGTTTTCTGTCTGCCAGGTAGGACTCCTCTGCTTATTCACACCAGTAGTGCTACTGGCACAGCTATCTAATTTTCAGCACAACGAATAGTAGGATGCATTTACACCTCCATAGCAGGTGCTGATTGATCTTCCTGGACCCAACTATAGAGACAGTTCTCTTGCCAAAACTAGCCCCAAGGAGGTCTTTGGCAGCCTGTTTCTTAATCTTTATTCTTTAAAGGAAAAAATGGGAAGGTTGATTGCAGGGAGTAGGGAAAGGGAGGACTTTGTATATATATTTCTCTTTATTGTGCACAAACTCCAGCAGGGCTGTCTTTGAAACAGCTAGCATCCTCTTGATAATGAATTTCAAATTCAGGTGCTTCCTTCCCTGCTTTATCCTTTTAGTGGAAGCCCTCATCTCCAGCAGGAATGGAATGGAGAGATACCAGCTAATAGAAAAGATTATCGTGACAGGGGTTCTTAGAAATGCCCGTATTTTATAACATGCATAATGCATGCTCATATGCTGAGCTGTGGTCTGAGCCAAGGCCTTGCGGAGGCACGTGCACTCGCGTTTTCTCCATACAGCTCACACATAGGCTTCATCAGCGTTCCAGGCCTGCCTTGGAATGAAAGGCATGTGCTAAAAACATGGACATAAAACTCCTGTTTGCAGTATTTCCCACTTGTTTTACCCACACCTAATTTTACAGCTGTGTTTCAGTAATTCATCTTTGTTGAATCTGAAGAATCAAAGTAATGTTCAGGAATACAACTTTCTTTTGACAATCATATGCCACTGATTGCGTAGTACTTCACTGTGATATTTAATCAGAGGAGAAAAAATAACTAGCATACACAGTGTTGGGAGCACAGATAACTCACTGTTAGTGAGCAGATAACCCCCGTGGAACAGCTGCGCCGGGTCCTGCTTCTGCTTAGCACAAGCTGGATGGATGATGGAGGAAAGCTACATAATCTCTCTGTGTATTGGTTTGCTCATCTATAAAATAAGGATAAGGATAGTCTTTATTTGGTTGAGTTGTGGGAACTGAATCATACTTGTAAAGCACTTTCCTGCTGCTTACTCATTACAAATACTTGAGAAGTAGCTACTCTTTTATTTTTATGACTGTCCCAACAATTTCTCTTACCAGTGTCATTCTTGGAGAGTAATCTCTTAGCTATGAATGTATCCTAGTATTAATCAGTATGTTTTATAGAGTAGATGGAAAGAGTAACTTAATTCAGTGGTTGGTTAAAGAGGTTGCTTGGTGAAATGCATGGCTTGAAAGTGAATTTATTCATGCTTTTCATGAGCATCTATTGTGTGCCAGGCATCGTGATAAGCTCTCAGAATCCAAAGTAACCTAGTGCAGTCCTGCTTGTGACAGCATCTATTGGTGGCAGGACTAATTGATTGTACATAACAGTGAATAGTATCAGCAGGAGGCCAGCCCATGTTGGCACTACCAGAGGTACTTGGGGTTGGAGGATGGTGGACAGGGAGAGCTTTGCTGAAGGGATGAACTATAGCTGAGACCTAGAAGTCAGCAGGAGACAAAATGTGGGGAACCACAATTGTAAAAGGCCTTAAAGGTACAAAGGCCCTCTGAAGTTCTACCTACCAAAGCAAAAGGTAGTGCTCTGTGGTCAGGGTTGGCCAGAACGTGTGGTGGAGGGCAGATCCACATGTATGAACTCATGCGTTCCACCCTATTTAGAGAGCAAGGGTAGGGTTTATCCACACTGTCCAGATGAGAACACGGACCTCTAGATAGGTTCGGTGACTTACTCTGGGATCCCTGCCATCCCAGGTGCATTTGTTCCAGAGCCCATGAGCTCAGCCACCCACAGCCTGGAAGAAGGGTTAGGCCTCCCTCAGGGCTAGACGACACAGAGATGGGAAGGTAGGCTGGTGAGGCTCTCCCTGGTGTGAGCTGGAGGGACCTCCTGGACATCTGGGGGGCGGAGAGAGGAGCTGGGGGGAGTTTATGTCCAGTGTGGGAAACTTGTGAGTATGTTAGGGCAGGCGGAATGTGGGGAGCTTTCGGTCAGATTCTTGCTGTTTGGGCGGAACCTGTTTGCTTTTCCTCTGACCGTTTCAAATGTGTTTGAGTAGAGCTACATGGCCACTTTTTAGAAGAGTGAGTCCGTTTGTTCCCTGGCTTCTTAATTCCTCAGTAGAGGAGAGGTGCTGTTCATACTGATTGGAGCGGAGGCCATCTTGCTCTCAGTATGACTCTGTTCTTTACCGCCTTTGACCTAAGATGATATGGCTATACATTTTGGATGGATTCTCAAGGTCAGAAAGGACGTACTGTAGAAAGCTGCGCCCCTAGGCCCCATCTTGGCCCATGTCTGACTTGTCACAGTGAGTGGATGCTTATGTGAATGGTGTTTGAGTGTTTTCCTTTTCCCTTCTAGATGGATTTGAAGACTGTGGTTCAGAGTGTGACAGCACGAGACTAACCGCCTTCTTGGACATCCCAGGCCAGGATGAGCTGCCCCCCTTGCGCGCCTGGAAAAGTATGCTTTCAGGGATAACATCTTCAGCTGGTAAGCACAGCAGCCCTTCGTATGCCACAGCCTGATGCTTTATTAGCTTTACAGTGATGCTGGTGGCCACTTCTCTGCGACAGCTTTGAGGAGACTCACGGTCAGGTAGGATACGTGCTGTCTGCAGGACGCTTAGGTTCTGTCTGGATGCACCAGTGTATTAGTCTTTTCTCTTCCTGTGTTACTGACACTCCCTGGTAAATGAGGAGGGCAGTGGTGGTGGACTTTAATGGTGTGCGGGGATTAGTCCTGCTAAGTGGCTTCTCGCGCATGCAGACACTCAGAATGTAAGCTGAACGCATTGCTGCGTGGAGAGCTATGGGCAAGTGGCCTGAACACTTCAGGTTTGCACAGCGCTCAGGGACTGTGACGGCGACCTGTCCTGCCACACTCCGGCAGGCCTCATGGTGCTGCAGGGTTCAGCTGCAGCGCGGATGCCTTCGCTCACTGGCAGGTGACCTTCATGTCATCTCTGAAGAAAGCAGCGACTGAGCCACCTCTTTCCATCTGCAGTCCATGTACGCGTCCCTGAATCTCAGTGTTGTCTTCCTTTCCGTTCCTGCCCTGTTGTTCTGCCCCTGTGACTGGCCCTCAGTCCCTGCCACCTTTCTTTCAGGCAGAGCTTTTTTTGTTTTGTTTGATTTTTGAGGCAGGATCTGGCTATGTAGTTTAGGCCTGCCTTGGGGCTGCCTGTGTAGCCCAGGCTGTCACTGAGCTCAGCAGTTCTCTTGCCTCAGTTTCCCAAATGCTGGGACACCGGGCCTGAGCCATCGTGCCTCTCAGGCATACCTTTTATCTCTGTGCTGCTTGCCTGTTCCACTTGCTCCTTTCTTCCACTTACGAACCTTATCTCATCTCTCATGTGAGCCCGTCTCCTAAGCTTCTCTGACTCCGCTCTTCATATCTATATCCTTTTTTCTCATCTTTCATCATCTTTGAAATTGAGGCTGGCCTTGACCTTGTGGTGATCCTCCCGTCTCAGCCTGCCGACTGCTGGGAACACAGGTGTGCGCCACCACTCCGGGCTCTACTGTTCTTAGTAGATGACCTTAAGAGAGTTTCTAGCTTTACCTTCTCTTCAGTGTCTTAAAATTCATATTCTGTGGGGTGTGGTGGCACATGCTGTGGTCCCAGTTCTGAGGAGGTGGAGGCAGGGGAATATTTGTGAGTTCAAGGTCAGGGTAAACTATATGAGACCCTGTGTCCAAAAAGAAATTCTTACTCTGTGCTAAACACAGACTAAATCCCTTACATTATTGAATGATAGAAAGCTACAACCATGTTATTGGGTGAATTTCTATTGTTTTTCTTGTTTTACAGATAGGGAAATGATGGTACTCATTTTTGATTTAAATATTCATGGTTAATCAGCCATTTTCTTCTTGGTGGGTGTTTTTCATGTTGTATGAGAGAAGCTGGGTCTAAAGTCCACCTGGAATTGAAATTTTTTGTTTGTGTGTGCTGCAAGGTGGCAATCAGGTTTCTTTTCCTTCCATATGGAACTGCAGAGACCTGGTGCCATTTAGTGAAACTGTGTGTGCTCTGGGCTGTCCCCTTGGTCTGTACTCAGATGTCCGCCTCTGGGCTTTCCCGTGTGCTCCTCTGGCCTGTGTGTCTGTCACTGTGCCAGGGCTGCCCTCTTTCCTTCCTGAATTTTGTCTTCATGGAATCTCTCCCGCTTTGTTCTTCTGCATTCTTAGCTATGCTTGGCTCCTCACGTTTCCAGATACGTTTTAGCACCAGTTTTCACTTTCCAGGAAAAAAAAAAAAGAAACTGCTAGGATTTTCATGAAATTGCATTGCACCTTTGAATCCATTTGTAGAGACTAGACATCCTTCCTATATTTAGTCTTAGAATCCTGTTTTTTCAGATTTTCTTTATTTTCTCTCTGTATGTGCTTGCAGACATACATACACACATACACACATAACTTTGAAGCAGTGATGCATACTTTTCTGTTGTAGCGACCTATATCATTAGACTTATTGCTAGGTATTTGACTTATATTAGTAAGAATTATATTATTTCCAGGGCTGGGGATTTAGCTCAGTGGCATAAGCGCCTGCCTTGCAAGCACGTGGTCATGAGTTTGATCCCTGGTACCGGTAAAAAAAAAAAAAAAAAAAAAAAAAAAATTGTATTATTTCGGCCGGGCTGTATCTCAGTGGCACAGTGCCTGCCTAGCAAGTGTGAGATCATGAGTTCCATTCCTGGTACCAAAAAAAGAATTATATTATTTCTTACATTTTTTAATTGTTGGCGATACATGAAAATGAAATTTAAAACATATTTTTAGTCTGTCTTATAGTGTAAGCTGAATTCATTTATTAATTTTATTGTAGTTCCAATGAATTCTTTTAGGTTTTCTACATGTCAGTGATGTTATTAGTGAAAAATGACGGGTTTGAGCGGGGAAGGGGTTGCAGGGCATTGAACCCAGGGCCTTGGTCAAACTAGAGAAATATGTATTGCTGAGCTACATCCCCAGCCAAACTGGCAGTTTTTATTCCTTTCTTATTTTATTTCATTTATCTAGTTTTTTCTTCTTCTTTTGAGACAGTTTTGCTATATCGCCTCCACTGGTCTCCAACTTGTGGGCCCAAACGGTCTTCCTGCGTCAGCCTCCCCGTGGCTGGGACTGACTGCGGGTGTGTAGCTATCACACTTAGCTCTTAGCTTACGTTTTAGCAATTCCCCTTAGAGGTTTAAATAAATTTCTGATTTGCAAAGAGATTTTTTAAAGTTTTAAAAAACAATTTCATATAGAAAACTCTGAGAACAGTAGAAAAACCCCTTGTGCCTCCTTCACTTGGATCATTGTCTTTATTCCTTATTTTCACGTTATTTGCATCTGAACCATTTTTAGAGTAAGTTGCAGGTCTCATGTTGTTTTCCCCTAACTGCTTCAGCATGCGTTTTTCTAGAAACAAGGACATTCACCATCCACTCGTGTGGTCACAGTATGATTGGTTACGTTTGAGAAATCTAACTGAGATAGCACTGTTACTTAATAAACAGATTTTAATTAAATTTTGCTGGTTGTCCCAATGTAGTTTGTTTGTTTGTTTTAGGACCAGAATCTATCCAGCATCATATATTTAAACTTTGTGTTTGTTTAGTCTTTGGTAATCTTTTAAATTTCTCAGACTTTACCTTGTAAAAGAGATTTTTGAAGAGTACACATCATTTATTTTGTGAAATAAACTGTATTTACTAAGGATTTCAAACACCATTCATGTACTCTAAATTTTATCTAGTGCTTCTTTTATATCTACTGAAATTACCAGACAGTGTGTCTCTGTTAAAAGTGAAAGTTGGGGGGCTGGGGATTTAGCTCAGCGGCATAAGCACCTGCCTTGCAAGCAGGCAGTCGTGAGTTCGATCCCCGGTACCGATAAAAAGGAAAAAGACCAAAAAAAAAAAAAAAAAAAAAAAAAAAGTGAAAGTTGGATAAACACACATGTAAAGTCTGTTGGGCACAGTGGTGCACACTGTAATCCCAGCACTTAGAAGGCTGAGGCAGGAGAACTTCCATGAATTCGAGGCCATCCTGGGCTACGTAGCAAGACTTTGTCTTAAAATAATAACAATAATAATAATAACAATAACAACAACAAATAAAAAGGGGGAAAACCCATATGTCTAAAGTCTGAGAGATGTGTGAAGAAAATGCCCACTTAGCCCTGTATCCAAATCAAATAAATGTACACTGACCACAATCTGGCAGGTTCGTCAGCACTCCCTTACCAGCAGTGTCCCCAAACCAAGCAGTGAGCACTAACTTGACTTTTATTGTTAATCATGTCCTTAACTTTCTGTCTGGTTTTAGCACCCAAGTATTGATTGCCAAGTAATATAATTTTACCTTTTTTGCATTCGAAATATGTGAAATCAAATAGGAAATGCTGATTTATGGACTTTGCATATACTTTGGGTGTATTCTTTTTTTAACAGCATTCTTGTGGCATGCTGACATTTGTTACTAATGCTGTCCATCTACAACAGTGGAGATACTGTTGAATATCTAAATTGCACTTTGGGCACTTGAGTATCTCTAAAATACCTACCTAAACACATACCCGTAAAAGAGTTACTTCTGGTGGAATGTTCCCGTCTTCTATTTGAGTGGATAGTACTGGTTTTCTAAAGTGGTAGTACTAATTTATACTCCTGTCTTCACCCTCCATCTATCTGACAATTGATACTGTTGGATTTTTAAGCTAGAGCCAACCTAGCAGCAGTGTATATATGTCACAATAATCACTTTGTGATTAGAATTTATATTTTCCCTATTCTGAGTTTGGGCCCCTTTTTATGTGTTAGTTGAATATCTGCATTGCTGTTCTTGAAGTGTTCAGATCTTTTGCTGGAGGAGTAGGGAGAATATAGATTGGGTTTTTTTTTTTTTTAATTGATGTTGTAGGAGTTCTGTGTACATTCTAGCATTTAAAAATTTTTTTGAGGCTCTTAACTATGTAGTCCAGCCTGGCCTTGAATTTACAGTGATCCTTTTGCCTTAGGCTCTTGGGTGCTGGGATTATGGGCATGATCCACCATATCTGGCTTTATGTATTGTGCGCTAACATTTTTTGCCTTGTCCTTTTTGTGACCAGAGGCTGGTTGTTTTAATGTAGTTAAACTCAGGGCTTCATGTATCGTAGGCAGTTGCTCTACCACTGAGCTACACTCTCAGGCCTCTCTCTCTCTCTCTTTTTTACAGGCTTTGCATCTTTCTTTAACATTTAGTTCTATAATTAGTGTAAAATTAAGTTTCTCTTTAAATTGTGTGTAAGATAGGTTCAGTTTCATTTTCCAGTTGGCATGATACTGTTTGTCAGAAGTGTGTCCTTTCCCTTTACCCTGGAATGCCACCTAGTTTAGGGTTTCATCTCTGCTCGTGAATCTTTTGTGTGAACTTTCTTTTCTTCTAGCTCTTGGTTTGTTTCTCTCTCAGTCCCTCCCAGGTCCCTGTCTTGATTACTGATACAGATATTTGATA